ATGAAGAGGCCAAGGACGCGGATCTCCTTGGCCTCACGGATCGGTCCCGAGGGAAGACTGATATGGAGCTGAGTTGTGTCCTGAGGGGAGGGACGTACGTGCACAAATTCTGACTTAGCCGGGGCACACTGGAGTCCGCAGTAGGTTGCGTAGTCGTCGACTACAGTCGCTGCTGCTTGCAGGCATGACTCCATGTGACCCAGGTTACCTTGCGTGGCCCAGATCGTGATATCATCCGCGTAAAGAGCGTGATGTATCCCTGGTAAAGAAGCCAATTTGGGGGGAAGATGAAGCATGGCTATATTAAATAGGAGAGGAGAGAGGACCGCGCCTTGAGGAGTTCCCCTCGAGCCGATGACGTAAGGCCCATGTTCCTCATCTTGTATGCGTATGTAGGCTCGACGGTCTGTAAGAAACTGTCTAACATAATTGAATGTTTTATAACCACAGTTGGTCTGACTGAGGTGGTCAAGGATTACCTCATGCTTCACGTTGTCGAATGCTCCTTTAAGATCCAAGGCCAGGACTACCTTGTCATTGTGGGGGCATTCAACAGGATCTAATATGTCATGGTGGAGCTGTAGAAGTATATCCTGGGCTGACTTCTGAGGGCGGAATCCAAACATGGTGTCCGCAAAAGTGTGCTGTGTTTCTAGAAACTCGGAGAGTCTGTCGCGCACCATCGTTTCCATCAGCTTGCCGACACAAGACGTGAGGGAGATGGGGCGAAGGTTCTCCACGTCAATAGGTTTACCTGCCTTCGGGATGAAGGTCACGAGAGCTGATTTCCATTCAAGAGGGAGAGGAGTTTCTCCGTCCCAAATGCTATTGATGTATTTGAGGAGCGTGGCGTAGGCTGCGTCGGGAAGATTGGCCAACAGTTTGACCGTAACCTGGTCACGCCCTGGTGCAGTGCCACGCTTCATCTTGCGTAAGGCCGCCTGGAGGTCGTGGAGCTGGAACGGGGTGTCCAACTGCGTGTTCTTTTTGCCTGCGTAGGAGTATGCGGCCGTCCGGGGGTCCTTGGTGGTGCACAGGTATCGGTCCCTGAGCGTGTTTGCCAGCTGTGTTGTCGTTCCTGTAAAGTTGTGCATGACCTTATGTAAGTGACGTTGAGTTTCCGTGCGTGTTTGTGTTGGATCGATGAGAGCGCGAAACAGGCGCCACGTGTTGCGACCAGACATCTGGCGTGCAGCCGTGTTGCACCTGTCCACCCAGTTAGTGTCGGCTAGCTGAGCAGCATATTCCGCAGCTTGCTCCGTGAGTTCTAGGATGCGTTTCTTGAGGCGTCTGTTATGTTTCTGTTTTTTCCATCGTTTGGTGAGGCTGCGGCGGGCCTGCCAAAGATGGAGGAGGTGGTTGTCTACGTCCGTTTGAGTTTCCGTGAGCTGTATCAGCTGTTCGTGTTGTTTCAGTGTAGACATCAGTGATTTAGACCAGGTGTCGTATCCCGACTGGAGAGGGTCTACAATAGGTAGAGTGGTGCGGAAAGTTGTCCAGTCTGGGATACGAGCTTGTGTAAGTGGGCGTTTTAAGGGACGCATGTACACAGTTGTGTTTAATACACAATGATCACTACCGAGAGTGTCCTGTGTGTTCAGCCAGTCGGCATGGCGTATGTTGCGTGTAATTGTGAGGTCCGGGCAAGTATCTCGTTGAACAGAGTTGCCTACACGTGTTGGGCTGGCGGGATCAGTGTGGAGGGTGAGTCCAAGTATAGAAAGAAGTTCCGCAAGCTTCCTTCCACGCGTGTCCTCTCGTGGGTAACCCCATAACCTGCTTGGGGCATTGAAGTCGCCGACGATCAGGAGGGGGTCTCGTCCTGCCACCTGCATAGCTTGTGTGAAAGTTTCGCTGAACGTGACGTTCTTAAGCTTTGGGGGACAGTAAATGTTTAAAATATGAACAGGTGGGTCAGATCGCCTTATAGGCAGCACCGACACCATTGTGTATGGGAAAGGCGGTGTTGTGGGGAGTGTGACTTCCTGGGCGGTATATTGCTTGTGAACAAGTATACATGTCTCCGGGTTGTGTTGAAATGTAGTGTAATTTGTGAGTTTGACGTCCGAGCCGGGTTCCTGAAGGGCAACCACGGCAACAAGGAACTCAAAGGTCTCAAGACAGAGGCGGAAATGAGCCCGCTTCTTGTGGTTCTTGAGACCTCTGCAGTTCCACTGTGTTAGTAACAACGGCTGAGTTGCTCTGTCTGGCACGCAGCGTCATTTGTATTGTACGCGTCGTCATTAGACGTCATGTCAGCTGTTCTCGATAGAGGAAAGGCATCGAGAGCAGCAAGCAAGCGTCTGTTGATGGTTTACGGGACCTTCAAAGTAATATATAAACCTTCCTTATTCGTGCTTCGCATATCATCGATTTTCACTGTACGTTGAATCTGCCATTTTTTTTTATCGTATGGTCTTCGATGTTTGTGTAGTATCAATATTCGAGTGAGGTAGCACTAATCGCTTATCTTTGCCAGCAATTTAGCACTGTGGCATTTCTTGTGCTAGTGCGATCATTATTTGGGGCTCAGACAAGCTTGGGCACATGCTGAGTATTCTGTGTTCACACGATTTATACTAATCTATTTTTGTCCTGTGCCCATAATATTATGAAAGTGGGAAAACTCACGTATACCAAAGCGTAAGAACATGGGCTTATCACGACAAAGAACGAGGAGTTGCATAGTGCGGATGGCCTTATACTACAGGCATGAGATTAGGTAACTTAGGAAACGAATCGAATACGAAGAGTAGTTCATGACTGGTAGAATGGATCTCGTGTATTAAGTATAGACCTCTTTCAACATTGGCTTAGAGTATCAGAACACATTATTAGAAACAAGCATTCACCACTTATAATTACTTTTATTCGACTCAATATACCACAAATAAGAAAACTAAAGTAAGCTCGTAGATAGCAAGATCTATAGCATTCGTATTACTATATAACTGTATACGTTCAAATACAGCATTTACTAAATTTACCAATGTGTGACTTAGTTGTCTGGTTTTAAAATGAAATGGTGACACAGAAACAACACTTTTCAACGAAACACTGTGGATAGAACTACAGATATATTGAAGCGGACCAAGCTGTCATCGCAACAGTGCCAGCGCACCAAAACAATGTAACAATCGGCGTTCAAGTCTACATCTGCCAGAACGGTTTACGCAAACGGATACTCACATCTATTGTTATTGGTGAGGCTGCAAGCGTTTGTTACAAGATAGAGACGGGAGCTGATTAAAGCAATACAGCTTCAGCATAGTAAAAGAAGAGCAAGATTGGAATTTTCTTTAAGAATTATCTGGCTATTTTTATTGCGTCGAGAGTTTCAAAAATACTGGGGCTGGGGGCAGATTTCTTCAGGAATAAAAAAAAACGAACCATAAATTTTAGGCTGTTCCGTAGTTCCGTTGTTTGGGGGTTCTCCCATCAGTGCCGATTATTGTGAAATGGTTTGAAAGACATTCGCTACTTCTAATACTTTCAAATATGCTCTATTCGATTCCAGTATTGAGTCGAATAGTGCATAAAATTATAGCGCTCTTTTGTATTTGGGTACGAAATCGAATACAGTGATATTGCCGCGAGGAGTCACCGTAGCGCCAGACGCTACGGCGACTGTATCTCGGATGGTGACCGCCAAATAAACGGAACCCCGCACCTCCACCAGATGTCACGTAAGAGTGAGGGTAGCCCGAAGACAGGAGACCGGGAGGTTAGTAGAAATAGAAGGAGATCCGTTTATTTGCGGACTTGCGCCCACTAAAGGAAAACAGACGCACCGGCTTAGCGGGTGGCAACAGCGCGTTCGACGGCCGTCGGGGAACAGAATGTCCCACTGAAACGCAAAGCGCGTTCACCATCCGAGATACAGTCGCCGTAGTGTCTGGCGCTACGGCGACTCCTCGCGGCAATATCTTCGATGCGTTATCCGACAATTTCCGGCCTTCGCCCACTCCTGCGCAATATAATAGCATATGAAAGGATTCAGATTGAGCAGATGAAATATAAACATCAGCCTATATTTCCTGAAGAACTGAAAATGAATAACTTTTGGCATTTCAGAGAAAAAAACGAAATAAAACGCACATGATTATTGCTGTATTTCCCACCCCTTATTATTTTTGCTACTTATTGTAGAAACGACTCACGCATATTCATGGGTATCATTGATCATATTACGAGATTGCTTCTCGAATAATAACGATGCTCACCCTTGATTGTGCCATTCAGGTTGTTACGCTTTTTGCCACAAGAAATGACCATGTAACATGTATTTGCTAAATCTACGTTACATTCATGGACGTGCCAGTGAGTACGCGCAAAACCATGTTCGACAGAGAATCGGCATATAGTTTGCACTGAAGGAATCGCTAATGAGCTTGGAAGCTTCGCAAGTACATATGCATAGAGTTAGGTTGCAGACAAGCGGCACTTTACTGAAACGAGAAATACCTATGTATGCATCAGCATCCTTTTGATTTTTGCTATATTGGAAATGACGTCAATATTTATTGAGCTGTTGCTCAAAGAAGGGCGTGATCGCCTATAGTTGACGTCATTTGGGATGCAGTAATAGCATGGCCACGAATTTTACTCTACTGGGAGGCTACATCATGAAGTAATGACGCCACAGATAGTCTCTAATACGAGTGCTTCGAGAACAGCTGCTGTCCTGTACTTAACGGTGCATGGTGACCATGTTTTTAGTGATAATCTGTATGCCTTTCATCACACTGGGGGTCAACTATGAAGGAGTCGACGCCTAAGTCACGATAGAGTCAATACTTAGAAAGAGTATGACTGACAAATATGCCAACGCGCCTAGTGCATGTGTTTGAAATAGTTTCCTGGTGATAGCTCTACGCTGAATAAGCCATGAATTGTTGTCATATAGAAATAATTAAGCTATTGTTTGCTCCAGATCTTGTCCTTGCAAGTACCACCTGAAAGCTGTTGCGCTTGCCCAAGCTGCTTTCTCGGGAGCCTGAAGCAATACTGAAAACATATTTCATTTTGTTGTACAATGTCTTGCAAGGAGAACTGATTTCGAGGAGTTTTCTAACGCACTTTTGTATTTCAATGTAAAGAGGCAAGCAAAGGCGTATCATTTTCTTCCATCGCAAGACACTATATTATTGAGGGCGCACGTGAGATAACACGAGCATGGTGCCATTTTGTGTACTGTGTGTATTGTGTCTTGTCTCGGGCATTATTGGTGAGTTGCTAAACCATTTATTTGAAGTTTAAGCAATGTCACGCCTTTTTTGTGCGAGTACGCCTAGCGAATATTTTGCGAGCATATTCAAGTATTGCAGTGTATACTTCTTTCTGCCCTCTTTACTTTGTACTCGTGGTGCAAAACAAGGCGCGGTTTTATATTGTCTGACCTCCCTGTCCTCAGTTTACCCCATATCCTCCTCAACTGCATTCTGTGAAAAGAAGAGAGCTCAATCGACCGCCATAGTGATTAAGTTTTTGTTTTGTGGTGCGTTTAGGTTTCATGACTAATTTTTGCAAATTCCACTGCAGGCATCAGTTTTTTCTTCATCAATGTGTACCTAAATGCAGATATTCATGAGGAGGAGCCATAACAATAACGCAATGACTAAGCGGCCATACAGCATATTGGTTTATTGAACCACCAGTTCTGGTCAACACATCGCAACTTCGCGCGCATTACTTTTACTGTGTAACTCGTATATATATATATATATATATATATATATATATATATATATATATATATATATATATATATATATATATATATATATTACATTTGTTCTAACAACTTCCCCTATACATTCCTTCGAATCATTGTCTGTTATATCTCATATTCATATATATATATATACATATATATCATTTCAACACCTCTTAATATATATTTAGTCATATTCAACATCTTGCTAGCGAATGAAATTGGAAACAAGCACGCGAAAAGAGCTCAGACTATTTTCTCTAAGACTCGTAAACACAAACGCTCCACGACTCGAAACTCAACCTCACAGGATTCAGTAAGACTGTTTTGTATTGCGCTTTCTGCAGAGCATAAAGCCTCCAGTATTCCTTGAGGTTTAGATTCAAGCCGAGTAGCGTTTGTGAATACGGGCCTTAGCATTATAAACACTATTTCTTTTTAGCAGGACGTCTTTAGTTTGTTGTCACTTCATCAAAGAAAAGAAAAGCGATATAAGGCTGATTTGAGAATAAATTACCGCTTCACGCAACAAAAGCTGACATATACGCATTGTCAACTTTTTTTTTAAATAATTGTTTCAAACAAGCATTGTCTTAAAGTAATATTCGGTCTTGACTTCCACGCCATCCCTAAATTGCGTAATAGCACTATTTATGCAACAACACGAACAACGGATCGTAATGACAATACCTAATGGACAGAAATTTAGCGCAGCTTGCCTTTTTAAAATGTGTTCTATCCCTTTGTTATAGCAATTGGCAAAATATGGTTTTCGTTGGCCACTAAAAGAGTTTTAGAAGCATAAATAGATGCCCTGCTACAATATATTACGGTAGGAAATGACAACAACTGACAAATGACAGAGAGAAAAAGGTTTTACTGTAAGATGGTAATTTAAACAAGGCAGTTCATAACTTTTTCAATACGACTGTCGGCTAAGAAAAAAGTCTGTAAACCATTATTACTTCGATGACATGAATTTCAGACAACAACCGGTCATTTTTCTTTTTTCAGCATCCCAAGACTGCAAGTCAAGTGGCAATGAATGCCGATTCGTGCTTTTTTGTCGTCGAAGCAGGAGAGTACCCATGAGTGGCTGTGGGTTCCTAAAAACGTGTTGTAAGAAAAGTAAGATTTCTTTTACTTCCAGATATTCTATTGTTGATGAATGAACTGGAATCGCGGCTAATATATATAGGAACTAAGGATTTACTTTTGTTCTCCTAAGAAACGAGTGCAAAGGGATAAAACAAAATGGCTGGTCGAAAGATAAAATATTTAACATGGGCCGTGCATACTCGGACAAAGTATTCAAGTAAGCAAGTAGAGATAGCTGTTGATCCCTCCTTACTGATAGCTTTGAAAGTGGCATATTGTTGATTGAATCACCCTTTTTGTCAATTAAGGTTCAAAATGACAAAAAAAAATTGTAGACCAATATTATGAAAGTGTTATAATAGATGAACATATGACAGAGCACACTAATACGACGTCCGAGTTCTCGTGAAAAACGGAACCAGGTTAGGCAACCAGTCCCTGGCTTCAAAAGAGCATATCTTGGTCAGTTTCTGAAATGACACACTTCTTATCTTAACAAAACTCGCCAAAAATGCAGGCGCGCTCAAGCACATGCAGCACATATCCGCGAATTATGGTCATTTACTTCTCTGCCTGCCTCGAGCGAGAAATACAGAATGATTTCATTCTAGCAATCCTCCCGCAGGGGCGCCTGTGAAAGCAGGCGTTTGGTGTGTAGCGACACCACGGACCCGAGCTAACGGGAAAGTTCTGACTCAAGCTCACGCCTAGCCGTGCATGGCCACGCCGTGTCCGGGGAAAAGGGGATCCTGGGCGTTGAGCCGACGTCGGGTTATTGGACCGTAAAGGCATCCCGGCTGAGGCAACACACCCCTTTGGCCCCGGCTTCACGTAGACAGCACCTCTGGGCTGACCCGCCCGGGGGGAACTGGCAGTCGCCTTTTCTTGTCTCCACCTCAAATCTTCATCTTTTCTCTTACTTTAAATCTTTCCTGTCCTGTACTCACTTCCATTGACTTCCGTGTTTCCTGGCGGCAAGAGTTAACCCTGTGTGGCTATCCTACCTTGGATACACCATAATCGGTTATAGTGGTGGCGTACAGCTGGCGTCTGCAGGGCCTGTACTTACAGACCTGGCAGCGTTCCCTTGTAGGACTTCATGGTGGGTGGCTGGCGCCGCTGCCGAAAGTAAGCATTTACATATGGCTTGTTCCTTCCCCCCACTCCCTTATCGCCCTCAGAAAAGAGGGCGCACCGATAAAGTATTCTAGTTTTTTGGTCACCAGAGAGTATCCTTTCCCCGATTCCACGTTATCCACGCTTACACACCCGGCAAACCAGTGCAAACACTTTCACCTTTTCTAGTTTCAAAGTCTTTGACGGAAATCTTTCGCCCAGGATATAAAGCATCGAGAATGACAAGTGGTGACCTCCTGTTGGAGCTCCGCGACCAGAAACACTATGAGAGACTGCCTAATCTAGTGAAATTTGGAAGGAGATACCAAAATAATGATAACCCCCCACCGAACCATGAACACCACCCGTGGCGTTGTTTCAGATGATGACCTCTTATTGCTGACGGAGGCTAAACTTCTGGAGGGTTTTAGCGAACAGAATGTCATCAACGTGAAAAAAATTAGGATGAGGCGTGATGGCAAAAAAGTTCAGACTGAGCACCTAATACCTAATTTCAATTCAAGTGTACTGCCCGACTCCGTTGAGGCTGGGTACATCAAGCTTCGAGTGAGGCCATATATACCAAGTCCTCTCCGCTGTTTCAAATGTCACCGGTTAAGCCACAGTTTAAAGAACTGCCGAAGCCGCCGAACTTGCGCGAAATGCAGTGCTGAAGAACACACATCTGATGCCTGTGAAAACTCGTTTCACTGTGCGAACTGTAAAGGGGAGCATGCCGCATGCTCACGGTCATGCCCGGGCTGGAAAAAAGAAAAGGAAATTGTCACAATTAAAGTAAAAGAAAACATTTCATTTAGGGGGGCACGAAGGCAAGTATCCTACCTACCAGAAACTAGCTTTGCCGAAGTGGCGCGTCAGGGGGCAGCGCCACGACGGCCCTCGGCGCCTGTCTGGCACACGCGTAGTGAGCCAGCGGGGACGCCATCCGCCCCCTCGGTGGTGGCAGCAAGTGCTGCTCCGCCATCCAAAAAGGACCCACCAAACTCCGGGCTGGGGGCCGCGAAGGTCTCGTCTTTTGAGGCGAGGCCCTCAAAACAAACGCAGCGCTCGCAAGAGCACGTGTCCAGCGCCTCGCAAGAGGCGATGGACACAAAACTGAGCATGAGGGCGCAGCCAGCGCCTAAGGATCGGCGCGACTTTGTCGACCGATCCAAAAAAGAGAAATCCCGCATCATGGCCCCTGGAAAGGGTCCGTGAGCTAACTTTCCATCCTTGAGCACACAGCACAAAACACATCTAAAATTAACACACAGATCTTACAGTGGAATGTGAGAGGACTTCTCCATAATCTCGATGATATTATAGAACTTCTTAATAAACATACTCCAAAGGTGCTGTGTGTTCAGGAAACACATCTCAGGTCCTCACATACAAACTTTCTAAAGCAATATGCCATCTTCCGCAAAGACCGCAACGACGCTGCTGCTTCGTCGAGCGGTGTCGCTATAATAGTTGATAAAGGTGTTGCCTGTAAGCAATTAAACCTCCGAACTTCTGTTGAGGCAGTTGCTGTCCGAGCAGTGCTGTTCGGGAAGCTACTAACAATTACCTCTATTTACATTCCTCCTTGCTGTGAACTTTCGAAGACACAACTTCAAAGCTTCATTGATGAACTTCTTCCGCCATATATAGTCGTTAGTGATCTAAATGCACACAATCCCCTATGGGGCGACTCCCGTTTAAATGCGCGAGGACGCCTAATAGAACACTTTCTGTTTTCGTCAGGTGCATGTCTACTAAACAAAACAGAACCAAATTATTATAGCACTACACACAGCACATACTCTTCTATAGACCTGAGTATTGTCTCGAGTACATTAATTCCATATCTGGAGTGGTTCGTTCTCAAGAACCTCTTTGGGAGTGACCACTTCCCGATTATGTTGATGTTAACAAAAGAAGATACATTGTTGCCTGACTTTCCTCGCTGGAACACCAAGTCAGCCAACTGGAAACTGTTCCGAAAAATTACATTTTTAGACGGAGATGACATTGCTCACTTTAATATAGACGATGCTGTAGCATACCTAACAGGTTTTATTATTGACGCTGCAGTGAAATGTATTAAGCAAACTAACGGAATGACTAATAAGCGCCGCATCCCATGGTGTAACGACGATTGTCGAAAAGCGCGCAATAGACAAAATAAAGCTTGAAGACTACTCCAAAATTGCCCAATGGCTGAAAACCTCGTCAATTTTAAACAGGTTAAGTCCCAAGCCAGAAGAACGCAACGTCTTGCAAAGAAAGAAAGTTGGAATAGGTACATCTTCGGTATAAATTCTTACACCGACGAAACGAAGGTTTGGAATAGGGTAAACAAGTTAATGGGTCGGGAGTCACACCCCCTACCCTTGTTAAGTAGCCGAGGGTAGAGCCTGGAGGAGCAGGCAGACTGCCTAGGTGAACACTTTGAATATGTCTCAAGTGCGTCACACTATACAGAAATGTTCTCAAGATTCAAAGGACGCGAAGAGCGACCACCCCTAATGTAAACTTCCGTCCAGGGAGACTTACAACTGCCCATTTTCATTTGCTGAACCTAAGGCATCTCTTGCGTACTGCAACAACTCGATGCCAGGTGGCGATTGTATACTGTACGAAATGATCAAGTACCTTCACCCCGAAGCACTAAAAACACTCCTAACCGTCTTCAATACCATGTGGGAAGCTGGGTATATTGCATTGTCATGGAAAAAAGCGATAGCCATCCCGGTGCTTAAATAAGGCAAAGAGCCGTCCTTGGCCATCAGCTACAGGCCATTAGCGTTAACAAGCTGCCTATGCAAACTATATGAGTAAATGATAAACCAGCGCTTAATCCACTTTCTAGAAAGTAACAGTATACAAGACTCCCTTCAGTGTGGTTTCAAAGAGGGGAAGTCGACAATAGACCACCTTGTTCGCATAGAGAAATACATCAGAGATGCATTTATTCACAGGAAGTTTGCACTTTCGGTATTCTTAGACTTAGAGAAGGCGTACGATACCACATGGCGATTCGGGATTCTACGCTATCTTGCCGCCATGAGCATCCATGGGAACATTTTAAACACAAATTAAAGTTATCTGTCTAACCGAACCTTTCGCGTAAAAGTGGGAAATGCTCTCTCTAGATCATTTACCACAGAGACTGGTGTTCCGCAAGGGGGCGTGCTTAGTTGCACACTTTTTCTTGTAAAAATGAACTCCCTGCAGTCAGTCATTCCAAGCGCGATGTTTTATTCCGTGTATGTTGATGATGTGCAGATGAGTTTCAAATCATGCAATATGTCTATCTGCGAACGACAAGTGCAGCTTGGAATGAATAAACTGTCTAATTGAGCGGATGAGAATGGTTTTGAAAAAAACACCAAGAAAAATACTTGCGTACTTTTCTCCAACAAACGAGGGGTAATGCCACTACCAAATGGTGCGATTGAGTGAGACCAACTCTCTGTGAGCAGCGAGCATAAATTCCTGGGAACCACTTTAGATTCTAAGCTGACATTTATTCCCCATATTAAATATATCAAAACGAAATTTTTGAAAGCGATGAACGTCCTAAAACTCCTATCACGTACAACATAGGGTAGTGATCGGAAGTGCCTCTTGAAGTTGTACAAAAGCCTTGTCGGGTTGCCCCTTCCATATGCCTCTATACTTTATAATTCTGCAACGCCAAGTGCATTAAAAGTCTTAGACCCCGTTCACCATCTAGGTATCCGACTTGCAACCGGTGCTTTCAGGACAAGTCCGATCCAGAGTCTCTATGTAGAGTCGAATCAGTAGTCACTTCACCTGCAGCGATGCTATAACAGTTTCACATAATTCATAAAGGTACGCGCAAACATCAAGCATCCTTCTTATTCAACTATAAACGATATGACCGCTGCCACCCTCTTCCATAATCG